TCGACTAATCGAATAAATAATCRGTGATTAATCGATTATTAAAATAATCGTTTGTGGCAGCCCTATTCATAGGTAAAATTTAAATCAAATATTAATTAAATAATTATATAATATATTAGACAGTATTGTGGCACAGTTGGTAGAGCAACAAATTGCCTCTATGGAAGAAGATTGCTTGATCAACTTTCTATTCTGTGTTCTCCCTGTGCAGGAGTGGGTTTTCTCCAGGTACTCCAGTTTTCTCTCAAAGACCAAAATCATATTTATTCTGACATAAAAAAGCAAATAACTTAAAAATTTGGGATAACACTACAGTAGATGTAATTTGTAAATTGTGCTTGTTTTAGTCTTTATTTCCAGTTTTGGGGTTTTCATGATTACAGGTTTTCTTCACAAAAATAAACGTCAACAAGCAAATAAAACTTTTATCATACATAGAAGAGGTGATTGGCTATAAAATTTAAAAAGCTTGTTCTTTGTAAATGTCTTTAAAGTTTGTATTTTGACATTTTTAAATAAAATGACAGACATCACAGCAGTCATTTTTGAAGGGAAGTTTCCCTATCACATTTAAAATTTAATTAATTTGAACGTCCACATTTACCATAAAATATTACTTCACTCAGTGCTGTTTCATTCCACTTGATTTATAGAAAAGTCACATCGTGTTTTCCTATGTATTGCTGTTTCTCAAGTCTGTTTAACAACCTGTTAATACACTCCAGAATGCAGGAAATGGCATTTACCTGTTTCAAAATTTTCTGGGGGAGGACCCCCCGCCAGTGGGTCCCCCCAACATTGCAAATACTTCTGATGCCACTGAAATACGTAGGAATATAAGGATATTTTATGGTACTCCATGTGTAAAGATACAGGACAAGTTAGAAAAGTGACTGCTGCAGAAGTGCAGATAGTTTGGATTCTTGTTTTTTTGTCTCTGAATGTCACAAAATCAGTAATAATATCCTTAAAATTTACAAATTAAACATCTGTTGGCAAATCCATAGTTTTTTATTGCCATAGTTTGTAAATTGTCAATTTTACAACCACATCATAACAATTCTGTTATGGATATTAGTTTTGGTGTGCCCCCATGGTTTTGTAGTGGGGCCCCCTGAAAAAAATGTCTGCAGGCGCCACTGCCTACAGCTTAAAAGAAGTTAAATTTAATACTTTTTAAGACCTCTTTAATGCCACTTGAAATTTATTTTAAGACCAAATTCACAAAAAACAATACGTATATAAAAAAAACAACTCAGCGACAATTTTAACCAAATGTTTACCGAAACAATTTTTTTAACTTTAACAAAATAATTAAATAATTTACTGAATGCCTCTCAGTAAATTATTTTTAATAGCTAAATAAAAGTTACCAATTATTTTAAAATTTGATGAATTACAAGAATCTGATTTAGCTACAATATGTTTTTTACGACCTCTGAAAGAACGATTTAAGACATTTTAAGGCTAATTAAGGCCTTATTTTTGGATTGATGAATTCAATGATTTAATGCTTTTTAAGGATCTGCAGGAACCCTGTTTTAAAGAAACCGTCTGACCTCCATATGCTGTATTGAAAAATATTTTATTGCAAATCTTTGTACACATTTTCTCCTTGTTAGGGACGAACAACAAACAGTGTTAATGTGGAGGTTTCATGCACTAGCAGCCACCTGGAAGGGGTAGTGCTGAGGGAAGTCATGAATGACCTTCAATGCTTCATTGTAGAGTTCTAAATCTGTGGATGAGACCAGTTGTACCATGAATTACAGAGGTTTGGACATTACTGTAGTACACCTGCCTCGTTGATGAAACCTACCAAAGACAATCCCCTTATCTTCTGGCAGTATGTTGTATGTGGAGGCCATCAGAACTCCTTTGTTGGACACCATACCAACGATCTCCACGATACCGCTCAGTTCTTCTTCAAGCTGAAAATAATAACGTCCTGATGCATCTCAGTAATCCAGGTAAAAATCAAAAAGAAAAAAAATTGTATAGGTCTTCTGGACGGGTTCTTCTCTAATGAAACGTTTCGTCTCTCCTCCAAGAGACTTCTTCAGTCTGAGAGTTTCAGGCAAAATTCAGGCTTTTAAGCACAGCTTCCATGTGACTGATACTCACATCACACAAGTTAGGAGTGATCAGGACTCTGTACCACAGAGCAGACAGTGTCCCTACAAACCCAGGAGCCAGGG